GGAAGCCCCGGGGCTGAGCTGGCGCTGGGCCGCCGCTGCCTGCAGGCCCCTCGCGCCGTGGCTCGGGTCGCTCCCGCCGAGATCGGGCCTCGGGTAGGGAGCGCTCGGGGCAGGCAGGGGAGGCCCGGGACACACTCACCCTCCAGCCTCGGAAGCCGCAGCCCTTCCCTCGGGCCCAGCCTGCGGCCTGGGCGCCGCTGAGCCAGCCCGAGGCCAGGGGAGGGGAGTAAGATTTCACCTCTCGTTGAAGGAGTAGCGGAGAATGCGTGGCCATCGACTCCCCAAACTACCTCATTTGTTTGCTTTTAATTTCTTTTTGGACAGCTGCAGATTTTATTAGCACAGGGTATCAAAAAAGGCAGGCTAGTAGCCCCACCAGTAAAAAGCCTTGAGTCTACACAGGAATGAGGCTTTACATCTTTTTTTTTTTTTTTTTTTAATTGTGGTAAAATATAAATAACATAAAATTTGCCATTTCAATCATTCTCAAGAATACAACTCAGCGGTGTTAAGCGTACAGGGTGGGGCAAAAGTAGGTTTACAGTTGTGGGACATGAACGCAGTGTTTATTCTTATAATTTATTAATTATTGCATTATTTTCCACACGAACAACTCTAAACCTACTTTTGCCCCACCGTGTACTTACACTGCTGTGCAGCCACACCGCCAGCCCCCTCCAGAACTTTTTCATCTTCCCGAGCTGAAATTCTGTACCCGCTGAAGGGCACCTCCCATTCTAGCCCCCACCTCCAGCCCCAGCCCCGTTCTGCTTTCTGCCTCTATCTTGTGTGAGTGGAATCATGCAATATTCATCCTTTGCTGTTTGGATTCTTTGGCTTAACACCATGCCTTCGAGGTTCCTTCCCTCCTGTTGTAGCATGTGTCAGAATTGCCTCCCTTTTTAAGGCTGGCTAACATTCCGTCCTATGTCTTGTCCCACATTTCCTCCCCTCATCCATGGGTGGACGTTTGGGTTGCTCTTCTGCCTCTCGACTACCATGAATAATGCTTCAGTGAACGTGAGCAGATGTCTCTTCCAGATGCAGCTGTGCATTCTTTTGGATGTATGCCCCAAAGTGGGATGGTTGGATCAGTTCTACCTTTAATTTTTCCATAGCAGCTATACCATTTTACAGTCTCACCAACAGTGTGCAAGTTTCCAAATTGTTCATGTTCTTGCTCTCATTTATTTTTTGTGGGTAATGTTTGTAACCCACTGAGGACAGTGCCTGGTGTAGAGTAAAAAGCTCCACAAAGGTTAGCTGTTATTATTTGGCTGATCAGAGGCCTCTTTTCCTTCCTTTCTTGTCAGCTATAGTTCAAGTAGCAAAGGCTGAATTCTCAGCATGTGATAGTTCTGATGTCCACTTTTAAAGCATCCTAACTTTTCCCACGTTGCTTTAGGGCATCCTGTAAAGGATGTTGTACATAGGTATACATATAGAGGATTGCAGTTTCAAAGCCAAACACAAGGTGGTAGATTAGGCAAAAGAAAAAGAAAGAAGAAGAAAAAAAGGAACCTACGTGGGAGGCTTTTATAAACATGAGCTCTGAGCGAGCATTAAGGAACAAAGCCTTCACTTTTCATTTTTAATTTGGACCATACTACACAAGATCAAGGTTATGTTACGAGGAAGTGAAAAGATTAAGGATGAAACTTAGGAAACTTAACAAGCTTTCTTTTTAACAGTTAACCTTACTGTGTTTTTCCTGTCACTACATCTAGTGCAGGTCTTTTAGTCTGATCTCTAGAGGGATGAGAGTAAAGAAGTCACTCTTTAGAAAAGAAAATCATTTGAAATGCTCTGAGCTATTCACCATTAGCCAAAATTTACTGAAAGACTGTATGGGACCTGGGAATATATTCCACACCAGAGCTGAAGAAATGAGCAGGAAACAGTCTCTGCTCCTAGGCAGGCTGGGAGGCCTCGTCTGCGAAGAACACTTCAGTGAAATTTGGGAGATCCACCCACAGTGGGGATGTCAGAATGTCAGAGCAGCACAGAAGGTGCTGAATCAGTCCAATGTTCATGCAGCTGCACTTGAAATAATTGCAAACACCCTCTTCAACTCACCTTTCCTCCTCCCGTGGGCTCATGTGTCACTACTTCTTCATTATATCTCTCTGTCTCATCTGGCTTAGCTTCTCCCTCACAAATTCTGATGTTTTGTTTTTGTTTATGCATTCTTATAATCACAATGTGACTCAACCAATCATTTTAAATACATCATCACATTTAATCCCTATGAACTCTGTGAGGTAAGTATCACTTGCCCCATTTTATAAGTAATGCAACTCAGCTTCAGAGAGGTAAGTATTTTGCTAAACATCATATGGCTAGTAAATTTCAGAGAATTGTGAAATTTGAGCAATCTGACTTCAAAACCCATATTCCTAATTACTAAATCGTGCACTGTTGCAATTTTTTTTTTCCTCCAAATGACAATCTCATTTATCTCCCCAGAGCATTGTGTGAATTGCGTCAATGGCTCCTGTTTGCTTAGACTTTAAACCTCGAAGCATACATTTGTAACTTGTTTATCAGACATCCAAGGCCATGCTTTGGTCACAGCCTACTATTTCAATCTCATTTTCCTTTATGAACATGTTCCAGCTGCACACAGGACTCACGTTTTCCCTCACATACCCTATGACTCTCTTGCCCTTGGCTGAGGGAACAAATTGCCCCCCTGTAGGCGAAAGGTGAATGAACTTCATTCAGCTGTTACAAGGAAAGAAACGGAGGATGCTGGTGAACTGGGCCCATTTGGTGTGCCCAATATTGGGAAAGAATGGATAGTCCTTAAATTCCAAAAGTAACAGAAAAGAGGTGTAGTTTTCAAAAGCCCATTGCGTTGTTAGCCTGACATGGTTTATTCATTCATTTAGCAAATATTTCCTGAGGGCTTGCTCTGGGATTAAGCATTGGACTAGACACCAAGGACACATTGTGAGAAGTTGATATGTTTCTGCCTTCAGTTTGGTAAGGGGAGACAGACAATCAAATAACTATACAAGTGAATCAATTTCTTAAACACATGGGAGGTTGGCACACAGTTAAGTTTTGTTGAGTGAAGGAATTAATGAATGGATAAATCTAATATACTTAAGTTTTCCTTTTAGGCATTTAAATTTAATAAGCAAATCCTGTGTTTAACAAACAAAACCTTGCCAAATGAATAAATAACTATTCATTAAATGTATAAATATGGCAAGTGATACCTTCTCAATTCCAATAATAGCCTTAATGAAATTCTTACTCTTTCAACTTAAAGTTCTAAGTTTAAATCAATACTCAAAAATTTCAAATTGGAATCATAAGCTTCATTCATCGTATTCTTTAATATGCCATATTTTCTTAAAATGTGACACAGTTTAAATGAAAATTATAGACTTTCTTAACCCAAAATAATAGTATATATGTGATTTAATGATCATTTCTAAGCTTAAATTTAATCTTATGGGGGTTATAAGACAATCACTTAAAAACCACTCTATTTCCCATGTCTGGGGGTTGCGATTGCATATTGATTTGAGGGGTGTTTGGCTGGGTGTCAGGATTTCCTT